TGTTGTATTAAAGTTTTTCTTCATTACCCATTCAAGCCGTCTCCAGCCATTATTAGTCTCAAAGTGGGTTCCTCGTCATCGAATATTGCTTATATGTACTATTCGTTCTCCACATAATTTTAGCGAATTGCACCATTTTCTTCATTCCCACGTTCACCTGCTCTGCTCGGGAACCACGAAACCCTCACGTGCTCAGTTTGCTAGAACATTCGAGAAGTCCCTCGACTGAACACAAAAGGGGCGGAGTCAAATGCTTCTTTCTCAGTTACCTCTCACTCACTCATTTGGTCACTTCGCCTCGCTCCGCGCCCCGTCAAAACAAAGGCCGATCTTCTTCCTCGCATCATATCCGAAATATATTAAAATTCTACAATACTTTGTTTTTCAAAATCTTTTAAACTCCAGTTCTGTAAATATAAATTATTTTATATTTTTTGAGAAAATCATTTGAAATGCTGGCTGCAAAAATCACCCAAACAGTTTCTGCTACATTTGTGGAAAATATATCACAGTTTCACGAAGGAAAAACATAACACACAAGGTAAAGGTAGCTTACTACCATTAATTTGGGTGTAAAATTGGTGAACAAGAAAAACATTGGGATCCATATTGTGTTGTACTATTTTAACATCAGGCTTGACACAGTGGCTGAATAAGAAGAGATCAAGTAGGTCAATTGCAGTTCTCTGCTATGGCGTATGCCCATAGATAATCTAACTGACTGTTATTTTTCCATGAGTAATGTTTTCTGGATATTCAGGTAAAACTAAACAATACATTAAATATCCAGATATTGCACCTGCAATGAAGCCAGTACCTCATCAGGATGGTCTTCCAATGAAAACATCTAAAAGCTAATCGGGAAAGAGAAGAGTTAAAACAATGATTCATCTTCAGCCTCTTCATCTAGTTTTTCTATTCCTGTGCAATTCAACACAAACTGCATCATCTAATCACACAAGATAAGCTAAATGATCTTATTCGTGACTTGTCTCTTTCAAAGCACCATGGTGAACTTCTTGGCTCTCGTTTACAGCAATGTAATTTATCAGCTCCAGGAACAAGAGTTTCAGTTTACCGAAGTTGCTATCAAATTCTTGCTTCTCACTACAGCATGCACTATACTTTGTGTTTCTGTACAAATGTTGATGCACTAATGGAAAATTGGGTACTGAACATTATCCTCAAGAATGGAGACTTTTTATCGACTCATCTAAAGTTAGTCTGAAAGCTGTACTTTTTCACAATGGGAACACTAAACCATTGATTCCTGTTGCCCATGCTGTGAACATGAAAGAAACTTATCAAAGCATGCAGGTTATACATTTTTAAATGCAATTTTCAATGAATAAATAAAGTTATTAAATAAAAGGTTGCTATTTTCACGATATATAAGAATATTTCGAATAAATCTGTCACAACTCGAAGACTAGAGGTGACCAGTTATTTTCAACATGATTTTTAGAATCCGCATCGTCAAATTACTCAGAAACTGTTGGTTTTTCTTCTTCTTCTTCTTTTTTTTTTTTTTTTGTAACAGAGAAATTGTTTGTTTTGTTGTCCAGTAAATAGTCCTTTAAATATACAGCTGTGTGCGAATATCCAAAAATAGACAAGCAATCAAACTTTTTGTACATTGGTAAAGTAAAGTGTTGGCCACCACTACTTCTGATGTTCAGAAATTTTCTATTTATTTATTTAAAAAAAACTCAAGCTCTAAAATTATGTTATAGTTTGGCAATCAGATTTGAAGAACTTTTTGTAGAGATAAAATATATAATTTCACTAGATGTCACTAATTGTTCCGTGTGGGTAAAATCAAAGGTAATATTATTAGACGTTATCATGTTATAATTTGATGTTATTATTAAATAGTCTTACTTTGCTACAGTAATACTATTACTGATACTTTTGATTTGGTTCTTATCCTAGTTTTACTTCAAGTTTTATAAATAAATTAAATTTCACTTTTTAGTACAACCTAGGTTACACTGTTTACAGTCCACTATCACTGTATCAGTATCATGAACCACGACAGGTGTAGTTCATAATATTAATAGTACTAATTACTAGTATTAGTAATAGGGATAGCAAGATTCAATTCAAACAACACTTTAAAACCTTTACTGTTGACTGCTAAATCTGTACACATATAAAAATGTACAAAAAAGCTTGCATGTTAGACTTGCATTGAAAGAAAATACGCTAAAAATAAAAAATGGCCCGTTTGTAATTATTTTTATTATTTAGTCATTATTATTATTTTGCCAGCCCACAACAAAAACGGCTTGATATGTTGCACTCGAACATTTTGTAGAGTACTAAATTAGTAATTAAGGTATTACAAAGGTTGTTGGAGTATTTAAAAGTCGAATTGTTTATACTGTATTTTACATAAGCTAAAAAACATCATAATTCTAGTGTAAACGATGTTATCATTACCCTAGGAAGTTAACTTTCTTACAAATATCCGACGTTCCTTTAAATAACTTAAGTACAAGGTGAAAGTGAAACAGGAGTTACCAGCCAATAATTGATGACCATTAGGTGACTGTAACATGTAGATACTCAATGTTTTGTACACTATACAATTAGTGTCTTTAAGGAGTCAACTCTATATTATGTATGAAGTGAAGGAGTAAAAAAAAATCGATACACATAATATTAAATCTTTTTGCACATATATGTAGAATAATTACTTTAGGAGGCACGAAGGTTTATTTAAAGTAATGTTTATATGAATATGTCTCATATAAAAAGGCTGCATTTCTACTGGTACAATTTTATACACACTTAGTCAGTGGGAGTTTTGTCTTAGTCTAGGCATATATTTGCCCATTGCTATGTATTATATAAAGAGAATTTATTTGCACAGAAACTATATTCTCAAAGAAATCTCCATGACAATTGCATTACAGTGTATAAAGTTAGCTACCATATCATGTAATACTTTATCCATAGTTGAGCATAAAAAAGCTAACAAACAAGATAAATAAAAAATTGGGAATTTAAAAACCTGCAAGTAGAGATCATAAAAAAAAATAAGGAAACAAGGCTGAAGATACTGTAGACATTATTTACTCAAACTACAAATCCCTAATTTGACTCCACCAAATGTAATTGTGGGTAACAGCATGAAGCCAAAATAGGGGTTTGTAGTTTGAGTAAATAATTTCTACAGTATCTCCAGCCTGGTTTCCGTACTTTCCGGGTCGCGGGTTCGATTCCCCGTCACACCAAACATGCTCGCCCTTTCAGCCGTGGGGGCGTTATATAGTGACGGTAAATCCCACTATTCGTTGGTAAAAGAGTAGCCCAAGAGTTGGTGGTGGGTGGTGATGACTAGCTACCTTCCCTCTAGTCTTACACTGCTAAATTAGGGACGGCTAGCGCAGATAGCCCTCATGTAGCTTTGCGCGAAATTCAAAAACAAACAAACCATTAGATACTCAAAGAGATGGAAATTCTTTTAGTCCATAATGATCTCCAGCCTCCTCAACTCATTGTGGGTCCTTCATCCCAAACGACCATTTCAGTTACCTAATTGGGACGTAAAAGTGGTGTTACATGCTCTTTTACAACATCTATTTGAGCCCTTAGCCTCATGTACCATGTATCACCTTTCCCTTAAGGTTTATTTTTGTTGTTGCTGGCCTGCGAATGTTGCAGGTTGGAGTTGTTTGTGCTGCACATGCACAGGATTGTTTATCATTCTACCTAAATCCTTCTATACCCAGAGAGGTCCTTTTTACCTAAGACACTGGCAGACAGGGAAGGGGTAAATCCTTTTCACCAATTCATATGACTGCTATTTCTCACTTCTATGACTGATCATTTGTTATGTTCCTTGAGGGCCTTGAAGTGTTATGTTGCTCACACTAAAGCTTTTTATTGATTGTGATTCATCAGTTTTCTGGGATTTATCCCAGGTTACCTTAACGGGGTGGGTATGAAATTGATCCATATTACTTATTTTGCGCTCTCTTTGAAGGTGTAGAGACTTCTGTGAGTCACATCTCATCAAATTCATCACATTTCTATGCCCTTAGCAACCCGGATGAATTGCCTGCTGGAGGACATTGTGCAGGCTGGTATTTGGACCTCCCCCAATACTTTTATCTCAAATTATTTGCATGATCTGGCAGTATCTTCCTCTGTAGCTATAATAGCCACATCACTAGTGTATAAAAAGGGATGAGTATTTCTTTTAATACTCTAGTCTCTTTTTCACAGGATTCCACTGTGGTGAGTGTTTCCCAGTCAGGTGTGCTTTTATCAAACCAAATTTGCACTAGCACCACTAACGCAGTATACTTTATCTAGGTTGCAACACGCTCTGTAGAAGTGAGGTGTTCCACAAGACCACCTAGAGGCAGACCGGGTTGTATTACTGTACTATGCTGGAGCACCGCAAGCATAAGTAAAGCATAAGGGGATCCTGCCCATCCCTGACAATCAGTGGATTGCATAAATTAGGGTCAGTTTGCTTTTAGAAATTTAGGGATCTTTGTTTACCTATTGCACTGTTTCCAGAGCATTGTTCCTCAGGACTCTCCAATACGCATCACCTCCCCACCATATTGTACTAGTGGAGCTAGGAAGTCCTTATCACCCTCAGTTTCCAATCACTGGGGTGGTGGACAGAGAATATTCCTTCAGAGTGTTTGAATGACTTTCTTCCACTTTTAGGGAAGAGGGTGAAGTTTTTTTGTTTTTTTTTCAGATGTCGGTATGAGCAGCATCAGCATATGTGGAGGCCTGTTCGTAATACCGGTTAAGATTTTATGCTCAGCTTTCATTTGGGTTGAGCATGGCCTTTCTTTTTGATTAATATTGGTTCTATTCATTGTTCATGGAAGAGTGTCCATTGTCTCCTCACAATTCCAAATGAAGATTGGTCCCATCCTGGGTCCTTGGTTGAGCACAGTTTGTTCCACATCCTACCTATAATTCCAGGGGCAAGTGGAATTTACCTTGCCCACATAGTTGAGGAGTGAGGATGAGTGTTCACAATTTCAGACTGAATAAATTGTTTCCTCAGGTTGAGTATGACATACAGGATCCCATCATTCCATGTTTGGGGAGTTGCCTTTTGGATTTCTTCAAGTTGAGGAGAGGGTTTGTCCACTTTGGTATTGCTTACTTCTCATCATAAATGCTTCACTCTATAGCTACAGGTTGGGGTCCACTCACAAATATCTATATTTCAGTCCAAATGCCCTAGCCACCAATGTGGGATTTAGGGGCCATGGCCCTATAATTCTAACTCTCAGCAGTGGGACCTGGCCAATGGTTATGATGGATCACATCAAATTCCACGTGCAGTGCATGATGTAGGTTCCGGGTAAAGAGCATACCTGTTCTAGATGTGGTGCAGTTCTCCCACTAAGGTGCTAATCTTCTGTTTCTTTTGCCATGCCCATACAGGTGCATTCTGTATGGATAATACCCTCACAGACCCCTCAGCCTGTGAGAAGAGGTTATTATATTTTGGAAGTTAACATTTTCTTAAATTGAAAAAGTACTTCCAATGATACTCAACTCCTTTCACACTCTCCCACCCTTCCTCCCTGTTAGAGACTATGAATTGGATCAGTCTCGAAAAAGTGACAGTATTATCTGAAAGAGGTGCTTATATGCAGTACCAGGATAGAGGGCACATTGATGTAAGTGGAGAGTATCATGAGACAGATATCACCAAAAACAATTAAGTGGAGAATAAAAGACTGGAGGAAGCAAGAAAAAAATCAGACTAATGCTTAGATGGGCAAAGGAAAAGAAATCCTAACAGTCAATTAATATCTATAGTGTGAGAAGTGGTAAGTATTATTGGAAATACATTTTTGATTTAAGAAAATGCTAAATTCCAAGACTTTCGATTGGTTTTAAACTGTGTTATATTTTTATCATACACATTTGTTATTTAACATTAAAGCTTAGATCAAACTCAACCCAAGTCATGAAACAAACATTAATTTTCAATCCAATTGGCCAGTTTGATTATTATTAGTATAATAATGCTTCATATCGAGCAATTTCATGTTTTTTGCCTATCACATCACTGTAAACAACTAATCAAAACATTTTGATGAAATCACTCATTTTCTATGCAAAATGTAAACAAAATCAAGAGTAATTAATGGGATTAATTCCAATATTGGCAGTATTTTTGTTTGAAGTTTTTTTATGTGACTTTTTTTGTTATTAGTGATCCTGTAACCATTGAACCCATGTCCACAAGCAATTTAGTGCATAAATAGTTTTAAAAAGTGTGTGTAAAAATTCAATAGCTCTGTACAGACCTCACTGATGATTCTTAGTTAATGATTATAAAAAAATACTACAAAAGTAATTGTAGAACAAGTTATTCATATAAGCATTATCTATTTAATGTATCTCGTATTAGAATGGTGAAAACAAGGAGAGGAAGCAAAACAAATGACTCACCAGTGGAGAAATTAAAACCAGAAGGAGTTAGTAATATCCCAGAATATGTGGATTCGTATGAGAACAGTGAGTGTGACTTTGATGCAGCAGATATGAATAACTTGCAATTAGAGAAAAATAGAAAAGAAAAAGAATTTTTAGAAGATAAAACAGATTCAAATAAGGACAAACTCAACAGTCAGCTCATAACAGAATGTAATCAACAAACAGAAAATATTGTTTGTAGTGATGAAGATTCTGCCCCTGATGAAGTAACATTTTCATCTGGCAAAGAGGCAGCTTTAACCTCTGCTAAAGAAGCATCAAGATCAGCAAAACAGGTTATAAATAAAACAAAACAAAAGAGAAGGGATGCTCATTCTCGAAATATTGCCCAAAAAGAACAGAAAGTAAGTACATGTGTACCAATATGGCAGATAATGAAAATATTTTGCATTAATTGTTAGAGAGCAAAACTAAGAAATAATAAAGAAGATTGATTATAGTTAGTGTATGGGTTTTTTTTCCAACTCATAATGCTTCTAAATCCAATTCATGTATATTATACTTCTTAACTTTCATCTGCTATTTTATTTAATCTGATTTTTGTATATATGTTGTGTTATGGTTACCTGTGTAGCATTGGTTTCAATCAAAAGTGCATGGCTTTTTATATTTTGTTTTGCTTTGAGTCACAGAGGTTATGAAAATAATAGTTGAAGCACTCCTTACAATTTGCAACTGTTTTACATAATTTCATACTACACAAAACAAGCATTTTGTTTTACACAAGACTACTTTTTAGCTGCAAACAATATATTTTATTATATCTGGAAATTAAATACATATTATATAAAAAAACTTTCACCTTTTCAAGTGTCCTAGAACAAATAACTAGGGAAGATCAATTGTCTGTTTTCAGGTTGCAGTTTTACAAGTTTGTGTAACATCAGAGTTCATTAGTGCGTATCGTGTAATTGTCAACTGTGTTTATAAACAATTGGATAGCTTTTGTTAAATGTCACAAACAAACTATATGTACAAAATTTCAAGTTACTACTATCAATCTAATTAACTTTAAATTTTACAACTTGCTATAAATTTCTAACATGATGCAATACATTACTTTGACTGATAGGTAATATAAGTAGAACTAGAGATGGGACAAATATTTGATCTAATATCCTTTCCAATTGAATATTACACCATCCAGTGAAATCCGATTGGATATTAATTTACCAATACTGTACTTCCCTCTTCTCACAAGATTAACTATTTTCGTCCAGTGCTGCCCTCTACATGCGAACTTTTTTCTTTACGCATGCCAGATACCTTCTGCTCCCCACTATTGGTATCAAATGATTCCAACATGTCTCTTATGAAAATTATCATGCATCACTTCTCCACCAATAGGAGCGTGAGATACTCAAGTGACACATGTGAACCCCTCTATATGCCTCTACTGAACTACCACTTCTCTTTTGGCAGCACTTGTGCTTGGATGTGTCCTTTTGTTTCAAGTTTCACGTTCAACTTTAGTATACATGCGAAGTGGTTTTCATTTAAATTACTTCGAAGTTTAGTAAGACTGTTTCTTCACTTTAATTTAATCCCAGTTTATTACAGTCACATTATTATTAATAATTTCGATTTTGGTTGACTCTTCTTGAATATGAATTTCAAAGTTCATGTTACCACTTCTGGGGTCATACCTGCGACTAGTGCTACATCACAGGCTTCAGGTGCGAATGACCCAGTGGAAGATTTATCAGCATTTATTTGCAGAAAGGTTGAACATTACATCAGTCAACCTCTATCTCCGGACCTTGCCCCACTTCCTCCCAAACATGGTCAGGCTGACAAGGATTTGGATCTCCTATTTCCACCTCCTGATTTTGCTGTTCTTTCCCATGCCCCTCCTGAGGAGTCAATTAGGTCTGCTACAGTCTTTTTGGATTTCATTTCTCAGATATGTGATGTTTTATCCCTTGCCCCAATTTCCTATGAACCTCGTCCTTCCTTACTACATGACTAAACTTCACATCCCTATTTGGTTCCCCCCCTCTCCCCATCCACAGATATTCGGGTACATGCTGACCAATTTGCCTCACAATTAAATGATGGGATTAGCATGCCTCACCCCCCCCCACAGGTTTTGGATCAGTTTGCTATTGCATATCATCGTGCAGACTGTCCTTTTCTAGACCAACAATTCTTAGGTTCTATTTTACCTGTTTGGGTGGCAGTCCTCAAATCTCCTGTAAGTCTAACCCATGCCCAATTTTTCTATCTTCATCTTACCTTCACAACTCTTTTATGGTATTTCTCTACCATCCATCTCCTCTCTAAGGCTCTCTGGTGACATTTGCTTATTTGTCACCTTCGGGAGACACCTTGTTGAGACCTTCTAGTTCGTGATGCAACCTTAACTCATGTCCGTTTACTAGCATCTTATCTTCGAGACTTACATATGGCCCCGATTTTGGGGTGATACGTATTTGACATGATCCCTGAGTCCTTGGAGTCACAAATTGTATCAGTACAACAACAGTCTACTCTTTCCAATCTTGTTGACTATTTGTCATAGTCAGAGCCCAATATGGCCATTGTTAAAGTTTTTTGTTCTTCCCAACCCTTACCTGTCCCTCCTTCTCAGGGTGCCTCGTCTCGTTGTTTTCTTCTATGACACACATCATGTCACCAACAGTATTGGTGACTACCCGGTGGGAGCTCGACTTTGCCAATTTTCTTCATCAAGGATCATTAGGTTCTTCAAGTTTTATTGGAAGGATTCATGATCCCAGTTCTTTCACCACCTCCAATGCCTCCTGTACCTGTTTCCTTCCTTCCGCCTCGACATCCAATGACCGGCCAGCTCCCTAACTTACTGCTCATGAAGTTCTATCACTTTTGAGGATGTGGTCTTCAATGACATCACTGATCCCCCTCAGTTATTGCACATATGTGTTCCCTTCAGTGGGCTCTTCACAATCAATGCTCGGGATCCTTTGGCAGCTCCCCATTACCCTTCCTCATACCATGTTGAATAATCTGCTTTGGTGGTGTCAAGTCCTTGTGATTGCTACCTACTGGCCAGCTCCATAGTTGTTTCCACGATTACACCAACTGCAACTTTTCCTTCCAGTACTCCTTCCCTTGTCTCCCTCTCTTCTTCGTCAACCTATGTCACATCCTTCATCTTCACGCCTGGCTTTTATCTAGTCCTTGGTGAGGAGATCAGCTTTTTCTGTCAAGTAGCTTACCTTTTGGCTCATTACAGACGTCCTTCTTTAATGGAGGTGTATCAGTGCAAATGAAAGGTGTTCCACAGTTGGTCCGCTACTCAGGGATTCCCTGCTGATCAACCTGCTGTGGCACATGGGCTGCCTTGTCATATACCTTTTGTTTTTCCCAATACCGTCAAGTTTTTGCTTCCCTTGTGAATACCATGTTAATGCATTCCTTCTAGATTTGTTAACCCCCAGACAGCCTAGTATTCCAACTGGGATATTAATGTGGTCTTCCATTCCCTCACTTTACCTCAGTTTGAACCTATTTCCTCATGCTCCATGTTTCACCTTTCCCTTAAAATACATTTCCTTTTCTTAGCCTGTGGCCATCAAAGGTCTGATTTGTTCACCATTGACATTTCATGTACACTTTACCACTGGTATTATCTTCTCCTTTATCCAGATCGTTCCTTCCTCCCAAAGACCTTGATTGCTAGGGAGGGTAATTCTTCCTTTTCACCTATTTCCCTTCCTTCTATTTCTCATCTCTACTCTTGTCCTGATCCGGATAGACTTCTATGTCAGGTCCATACCCTTTATTGCTATATTGCCCTTCCATGATACCTGTTTCTGAATCTTTATCCCTTGGCAGTCTTCCTCTGTTTCTGATCCATCCCCTTCTACTCTCACCAATTGGGTTTGATGTTTGATTCAATTGGCTTATTCTTCTTTCCACCAGAATTTGTTTAGGGTGTCTTCTCATCAGAATCGATGCCTCACCTTTTCCTTTGCATCTCATCTTCGTTGGCCATTAATGGAAAACCTACATTCAGGAATATGGACTACATCTAATACGTTTATCTCCCATTACTCACAACATATCATGGTTTCTTCTACATCAAGTTCTCGTCTTCCATCTGTGTCTGTTCTTCAAGCTTTGGTGCAACTTTGACTGGGTAAGTCTATATTCTTTTAATTACAGGGGCTCTTGCTTCATTTACTCTTTATAGGGATCCCGCTCTGTAGCAAGTGGTACCTGACCAGGTAATCATCAATCAGAAATCCACACTGTACAACCATGTTGACTCATGCTTTAACTTCCATGGCTTTGCAATGCTCATTATTGAGAGGGGGTGTTCCACGAGATTGCTTGCAGGTGAATAACCGCATGATGTAATTGCTTCATAAACTTGCTCATTCCAGACTGTGCCACCCATGAACTGCATGGGTTAAGCAAAAGGGGATAGTTGGCCATCCCTGCCATGCCATGTATTGAATAAATCAGTATGGTCTGCTTTTCAAAATAGGGTTTCATGGTCACCCATTGCACTGTATTGGGTGATGATGTTCCTCCAGATTCTCCAACGCATTCTCAGCCCCCTTTCTTCTAGTGGAGTATGTGAGTCCTTACCACTTTCCATTTCCAAGCTACTGGGGTGGTTGACCATGGAGGCACCCTCCTGAATGGGTTCCACACAAAGATGGCTATAACCATTCAGTGTAAAGTAGGGCAGTGGTGTTCTGCGGGTGTAGATGCCATGATATCCTCCACTATGTGTTATATATTCACTAAGGAGTGAGATGTCAAATTGCAGTTCACCCCTTTGATTGGGAGCTCTCATCCTATTGTCACATAGATGTCGCTACCTCATGGCTGGGCCCGGCATGGCCAGGTGGTTAGGGCACTCGACTCGCAATCTGAGATTCGCGGGTTCGAATCCCCGTCACACCAAACATGCTCGCCCTTTCAGCCGTTGGGGCGTTATAATGTGACGGTCAATCCCACTATTCGTTGGTAAAAGAGTAGCTCAAGAGTTGGCGGTGGGTGGTGATGACTAGCTGCCTTCCCTCTAGTCTTACACTACTAAATTAGGGACGGCTAGCGCAGATAGCCCTCGTGTAGCTTTGCGAGAAATTCAAAAACAAAACAAACAAAACCTCATGGCTGGGTTTTGGATTTAGAGTAGAACCGATCAACATAAGTCCTCACACATGTTTAGGGTTGTCTAAATTCCTCCATCGATTACTCCTGTGTTGTGGGTCAAAGCAAAGCAAAAGGAAATTGTTCTGGTTCTGTCCTTTTTGCTATCCCTTGTGTTTCTTATTCCAAGGATGTTATTGCTTTTTGGATGGTTCCAGTTGGTTTTGCTGTTGGGGGAGTTGATTTATATTTAATTGACATCCTTTCGATACCAGATGTTGGGTCCCTGGATCGATTTATCAAAGCTAACACATATGTCATGTTCTGGAGTTGGAGTGTTTCTAGATTCCCTCTGGTCTCTTGAACTTGAAGTGAAGACTATATGATTCTCATCCTACCCTCACATAGATGTCAGTTCCCAGTGGCATGGATTTTGGATGTAGTTGACTTACCAAGTATGATCACTATTTTGTCTCAGTTCTCTCCCACTTGGATGTGCTCAACTCTTTTTCTGCCCCTATCTACTACATACTTCATGGATGGGCAAAGAGTATACCTGGTCATAAGTGGTGTGGTTCCCCTTATCAGATCTTTGGATCTGACTCTCTCATTTCCAGGGGTATCCTTTGTACCCTCTCAGGGAGTACTTCTCTCATTCCCTCGCACTGGTCCCTCCAACTAATCAATGAATGGAGGGAAGTACCATATCAGAAGTTATAATTTTCCAATATTGAAATTATATTTCTGATAGGTACTTCCTTATGAGTACACTTCCCACCATTCTTCCAGTGCTTACATCTTCTGTCATGCTCCTATTGGTGAAGAAGTGACACATAATGATTTGCATGAGAGACATGTTGGAATCATTTGATTCCAATGGGGGAGCAGAAGGTTTGTAGCATGTATAAAGGAAAAAGTTTGCATATAAAAGGCAGCACTGGACAAAAATAGCTAATCTTGTGAGCGGAGGGAAGTAACTATTGGGAATACATTTTCAGTATAGGAAAATTATAACTTTCAACACATTGGATAATCAAATAAAATTTTTATCAATAAATTATCTAAATTATCTTCATGCCTACTTATGCTTTCTAATAGTTTCTAAACATAGTAGCACTTTCTCTAGTATTCAAGAGTGGGAGCCCTTGTAGTCATTATCTAGTTTAAGTAAATATTACGTCTACACTTTGTTTTGCTACTGTATGCCATAGGTAATCACATTAGTGGCAGAGACAATAATAGTAAGCATATTATAAACAGCAGGGGATTGGGAGTATAAAGCGCTGTCTGATGCGGCCACATTCCATGGAAGAATCTACAGTGGCCACTCATTCATATGGAATAGTGCATTCCCATGTACATCCTTATTCAGTTTTCAAACAACAAGGATTAAGTACATCTGTTGTCTGGTCTGAAAACATTTGAAGCTGATTGGATATTAGTTGCCAAATATTCAACTAAAACAACTATTTGTGTGATCCCTAATTTCAACCAAAATTCAATCACAAGGCTATTTGGTTAATGTCATGAAAATAATCAACTAGGGTTTCTGATTATTATGGTTTTTAGGTTATTCGAACTATCCCGTAATGGAAATTATTACTATTTTTAACTAATTCAAATCTGTTCAGCTTTTTGATTAGTCTCACAACTCATGAAAATAATAAACTAATTGAAATTAGGGTTTATGATTATTTCCATTTTTAATTATTCAAACTATCCAAGTATCTAAACACTGCTATTATGTGTACTTGTTGTTAAACACAATTGGCTTTCTGTGCTCTAATCACTGTGAGTATCTCCCTCCCTCAATAGGTAACACACCCCACCAGTTTTCCTTTACTGATGCTATATTTTCAGAAAGAAGTTCATCTTTTTAATTTCTTTATCGCCACTGGCCCAGCCACCAGCTTCTTAATGTACTGTTATAGCTCTTTGTTGTGCAGAGAAGTGAATAAAAAGTTCTCAAGTTAACATTTTTCTGACCTGAAATGTATTTCAGATAGCTAATCATACCTCTGCACAACCTTCCACTCTTCTTCCCTACTTCCAGTGTATTTATTTTGCCTTGTCGAGAATGAGTCTGTTCAAATGCTAGTGCTCATGAGAATTACTGTGCATGGAGGATGCGTCACCCTCTTATTGGTGGAGGGCTATAGTCTGATGATGATTGCACCATAGGCTGGCACAATACACTCTAGTATGTGTAGGGGTAGGACCATTGTTCAAGGCTTGTGAGGTGCTCAAAAATCTTCATAGCAGTGGTGTGAGTAACTAGCTGAAATACATTTTCAGTTAAGGAAAATGTTAACATTTGTAATAATAATGAGTAATGGAACACCTGTAACAACTGACCTCTAGCCTACAACATCAGGAGCATTAACAGAGTTCATGATGGAAAGGCACTAATTTCAGAACATCTTAAGTCAGACCCCACTCTTTTTTTTTCTGAGTATTGCATCATATAAGTTTATACTGGTATACATATACTGAAATTTACAACATGTAAGACACTGTAAATAGGCCTATTTGAATATTTATTTGTCTCTAACAACCATATTTTTAAAATGTATGTAACATGATAATTTTACCAACTAAAAATGGTTGAATTAGATTCTTCTAACGAGTCTGGAGTACATAAATGTTTTTTGTGTTGTCTTTCAACATGTTCATTATTTTAGCATTCAAATTTGATGCCATTTTATACCAGAAGTCGTTGGAGCTTGAATTATGGAACTTTATACAGTTGTTAATGATTTTCACTCCTTGAATTACGGTAGAGTCAATAATATATTCTTAAAAGCTTATGGACATAATATCATGTGAGTGAAGGGTATTAAGATGTGGAACCATATACTACTCTAAATTGTTTTATATTTTTCTTGCACTTTGCTTATATATATATATCCAATATCCCATTATCTTCTTTAAAAAAAAAAAGAGCATAGGAGGGACATCATCTTTTGTCAAGATGGGATGGATACACCCTGTAAGGTTCTTGTTGCAATCAAATTTTTAACTCTTCTGATTTGATTACTGATACAACTCATCACATTTTTTTTTCCTCTAGAAAAGGATCGCTCATAGTTCATGCCACTGTGATCTCTGAAGTAGGTCTTCATATTTCACTTTTTGTCACTGCCATATTTTTCAACAATTTCAATATTTAGATTTTAGCACAGAGGACATTGAAAACTAGATTATATTATCAAAGAAGTATCAGTGTCTAATTATATATAATACTTAACTAATATTATAATTTCACAATGAACTCAATATCACATAGCTTTCTTAGGTTCTCAGGCACTAAGCTGATGCCATGCCACATTGATAATTGAGTTTTAGCATTATTGTAAGACATACTTTTGTCTATTTGGTTTAAAGCATTTTCTGAGCAGATGCAAGCTATTGCATTTTTAATTTATATATTGATTAATGCATATATAATTATTGTAAAATAACATTCATTTCTTAGAGACAAAGGATAGAGGCACTAGAACACAAGAGATTTCCATGTGATCTGGTTGAGAATCTAGACAATTTACCTGCCAAATTAGGTGTAACTGTACCTCAAAATAAATTACATATTGTTGGAAAACCAAAAAAGAAGAAATTTGAGGAAGGTATGTTTCCTATAATCTTAATATATTTTTAGAGTGAAAATTTATATAATTTTCAGCTGGTGTAATTTTGTAAGGTTTACAATAAAATGAACTCCAGTAATGTTAAAATTGCTGATAAATTTTACTCTTATTTTTATGCCGATGTACAGTTTAAAGTGTTTATATGAATATATATATACTAAGAAAATACTGTATCTTACTTATTTTAGACTTATCTTACTATGAGAAAATATAAGTGCTACAAGAGATTAATATCAAGTTCTAAAATACAAAGGAAATTTAAAAGATGTTGAGCAGTCACATGTATTATTAAAGTAATTTGAAGAAACACAAGAAAACTACAACAAATTGTTTTTCTATTAATTCCCATGTTTCTTTTTGTTATTTAGTGTTTACATTGTATGATCATTGTAGTTTTGGTTTATTTTCAGACTGATGCAATTTTCTTCTGTTTCTATTATATGTACCTGATAGCCCTGAGTTTAGATCATAGATAGTTAACTGGTGGCCTACGAGCTAGATATGGCTCATGGAGTTATTTTATTTGGCTCTTGTTGTTTTTTAAATCATATCTTATTCGGGCTAAACTGGCAAAATGAAACTGTGACCAAATAAACCAGTCCCATGACAGATCTGAGAATTTTCTTCAAATGTTAACTCAGCTACTTATTCAAAACCATATAATTAAATGATGGTGTACAGTAGATGGTAGGAATTAAAATTTAAGTTAAGTAAATATTCTGAATGTACTTTTACCCAGTCATATAGTTTTGGCCCCAGACTACAGTCTGGGTAAGAAACTGGCCCATGAGCAAAAGAAGTTGGCAACCTTCATATAGTAACATTTTGTCTAAAAATGTTGTTTCTGTCCCATAATTTTCTATAGATTTTTAAGATCTTACTGCCAAAAATAATCAGAGATCTTGTAACAATTTTTAAGTACTTCAAAAGTGTAATATTTAATTCACTGGTGATACATCATATGATTTGTAAGAATTCAGTTGCTTTCATGTTAAACTAATATTTCTTTTCATACAAAATTAAATGTTTGGTTTGTAGTATTTTCTTAATAATCAAACTAAATTGTCTCCTATGAAAAAGTATTACCTTTCACATGCACATAAAACAATGGTACTATACCAATACAGACTAAACAAATTGTTATATAACCATAATAGTTTACCTCCTATTTTTTAAGTTATTATGATTCCTATAGATGTTTGTTTCTTAAGCTTATCAACTTTTGAATGTACATCTAATGCTTTAAACATTATATTATGTACAACTCTCACATTGTTACCAACATACAAATATAATATTTCTATTATAAACAAGTTATGTGTAATGACATTGTTTGTAGAAATAGTTTGCCAATATATTCAAAATTTAACAAATATTGTAGTTTAACTTTACATGATTCTAATTTGTTAAAAAAAATGTTTTTGAACTGTATTACATTGTACAAATATAAATATATTATCATATTCTGGTGTTTGGTTTCATTGAGTGACCCAGGGTTATTCTTATAAATTACAGTACAATTTTTGCATATGTTTTAAGTTTTAAAAGCCATTGTAATTTTGCTTTAAAACATTTATTAACAAATTAATTTGCAAAATAATGATGTCCAGAAAAAGAGAATTTGTTAATAAACTAATATTGCAATTCTGAGATAATAACTCACCTCTGCATATAGATTACCTGTCTTTCTCAGTGCTTCTGCCAAAGAGATTTGCATGCCAATAGTCTTTAAGGATGTTATGAGTGTGGAATTTTGTAATTGGTTACTTGTGACTAATAGTTGCATAGATCATCGAAAATTATATATAAGTAATATTAATATTTGTCTGTTTCATTGCTACAAGATGTTAGTATTTTTTTGTCACTTGCAGATGTTTTCTGGTCAACCCAATGCTTCCTTATTTGAATGAAGCTGATAATTTGAGGATGAGGCCATCGACTCCTTTCACTCAATGCAAACATATATATATTATGAATATAATTATACATCTTTATTTATCCCCTGAAACAACACAATGCTCCTATAAGGGAATTTTCAGGTATGCAGTTTCAATAAAAATGACTTATTCAGAAGCAATGATGCATTTCTATTTGATGAACAACAAAACATTGGTCATTTATTTCGATATGTCCCATGCAATTTGAATCATATTTGAATTAGAATAGAGAAAAAGCAGTGTTGATACTATGAAAAATCTACTATTTCAAACAAAACACAAATAGAAATATCACAGCATTTATAAAACTTCAACAAAAGGCAAATATCTTTTGCATGATTGGTTTTTAGCTGAAAAAAAAATGTAATGATGTCTAAATATTAAATCATCACTGACACTCTTAGAGACTAGAGGTGACTACTGCTCTAACACATCATCACTAACACATGCTTCAGTGGCCAGTTTTGTATGTGTTTCCTGGTATTCTGGGGATGTTGATCCTCACAAAGGAATACACTCTTCGATCTCATAAATTTGAGTTCAGACAAATAAACAAAACTGTCCATGAAGAAATCACGTGCAGCAAACTGACGTGGTGATAAATGCACATGCCACAAGTTATCACAAGCCAGTTCAGCAATTTTCTACAGTTTGCATTCATGTGACACAACTTCCAAATAATGTCAAGGTCACATTAATTTTTTATGAAAAGTCTGTTTGCTGAAAATGTGCATTTAAGAACTTTTTGTAGTTTTATTGTGTTTCTGGAGTATAACATTTTGACACACAGTTACAGGTTACTTAAAAATGTAACCAGTTATCAGCTGTAGCCAAACCATATCTGAGTGCTCATGTACTCATGACAGCTTTACTAGCCTTGAAGCAACTCCCACCTAATTTCACGTGATTTATGTGAATTGCATCACAGCATGATGAGACGTCATGCGATAAATGCCCTCTACAAATAGGAGGGCAACATACCTTCATGCACACTGACTTCCCCTATGCATTTGCGCTCATAAATCTTCATTCTTCTCCACGGCATTGAATTGTACAGACATATTGAAATTTTTGTCTGTGTTCAACTTACTGAAATTTGCATTGTTAACGAAACTTTGATTTTCGTTTTCTTTAGCTTTTGTTTCAAAAGCTTTAATTTTTTATCATGAATTATCAAATAACAGATTTATACTTAGTCCTGAGTGTAAGATGTTGTTCACACTTCAGCTTTACTCCTGTTGTGACTTTTGGAGGCTCACTGACTGTCATGGTCATTGCAGCCACTGTTCAATGGGTTGTGGATTACCACATGCTCAACAGGCCTCTTACTCCCATCTTGTCAGTCGAATTTCTTTCTCTTCAGTTAGGAATGATCTATTAGACTACAACCTTCTCTTGATTTGCTTTGGATAGTGCTTTACCATTTATGAAACAACCTTAACTTTTCAATCTCTTTCTGAATTTCTTTCTCAGGTGTGTTCCTTTCCATCTCTTTTGCCTGTGTTCTTTATTATTTTAATTTTCTCACTTTCTGATCCATGATTCATGGGTTTATTTTGCATTTTCTCCTTGCTTGTTATTAGATTTTATACTGTTTCCTTTATCTAATACCTCCTTCCTCACACCCAAGAACCTTGTTCCCCTCACATTTGTGACTCCTTTTGTCCTGATTTGTAGACTTTATTCCCTTCCTTTTCCCAATTTTTTGTAATTGGTATCTATCTGGCTAGTTTAGGGATCAAGCCTTTTACCTTCTATTTCTCTTTCTAGTTCCCCAATTTCACATTTTTTGTCTTTTAGCTCCACCTTTTACCTGAGACACTTCTTAGTGCTTACAATGGCTTCTGTAGACATTTGTTCCCTTCTCTGTTTGGCTTTTTCACTTCTTTTGCTTTATCCCTTCATACTTTGTACCCCTGCTGGCAGAACTCGTTGGATCAAGTTACATTCCTCTTCACTGTACTCCTTCCTTCTCCTTGTTTACTTACTATTCATCTGGCTCCCTTTCATTAACCAGATGTTTTCAGTGATGTTCCTTTCCCCTTGGTGACCTGGTCTGATGCTATACAATTTCTGTCCTTGTTATCTTCCTGTATTTTTCCACCTGCTTGCCCTTTACTTCTATTCTTCATCTGGATCAGTCTCCTTCCCACCTTTCCATTCCTGATTCTAGGCCTTCTTCTTTTGTTTTTCTACCAGAAGTCTCATTCATCACTCTTCTTGTCACTGTCTATCACAAATGTACATTTCTTTGGGTACTGTTCTCTTCTTCTGCTGTTGGTATCTTTCCTCACTTTTTCTCCTCCCTCTGACCTCATTTATAGCTTTTTACACTTTGTCTGCAGTTGGCCATGGTTGATGTGTGTCAGACACTTTTCTACACATCTCTCTCAGCCCATCCTCCATTTATTTTCTTTGTCCTGTCTATCTTTTTTTTGCATTTTCCATTCCTTGCTCTTCCCTTCAACTCAGCATCAGCACCTCTTGTATTAGTTGATATCATGAGAGCCTTCGCTTGCCATATTCATGACCTGGGGCTAGCATCCCTTTTCTTTGACTGTTTATATCTGTTACCTCATTCTTGGATGTTTTTTCTTCTCTTATGGTGACTACTTGGTTGAGGGGGGGACTAATCTTGGGATGTAAGTCCTTTCTCACACTCATTCATTGTTGAGTACTTTTGGGTGTTTTTTTTTCTTCTCTCATCTCAACCACTTTCACTTTGCCTGTGAGCTATGACATATCTGGTCACCAGGTTTCAGACTTCTTATTCTCTCCCTGCATGAAAGGGTATTTTGCTTTTTGGGACTCTGGCTTCCCTAGAAACACTCATTTCTTTGAGGCATACCCTTATGTATCTCCTACAGTGGACCATGTGGACTGAAGATTTCCTTTAATGGGGGTCCTTTGTCATATTTTGTGAGCCTATCCTTAAGGAATTGTCAGAAATTGTATACTATTTCCTACATTCTCGTACTGCCTCTTAAGCCAGATCTTTCTCTTCTTTGATTCTTCTCTCTCTGATTGAAGTACATTTTTTTATGAGGGAGGGACTTCCAACATTTGGATGCTGGATAAGAGTTCATTTCACATCAATCTCACTCTTCATTGGGCATGTTCTCACTCCTACTCCTACTGATGGTTTATTTGATCATGTTCCACTCAGCCTTTTCCTGCTTCAGCCATTCTTGTGGCTTCTGTTCCAGGTCTTTTTTATTTCAGGTATTAACCATACAAATCTGAACCCATTCACATCCTTTGCCAGGAGCTTCAATCTTGGTGGCAGTCTGCCTCTCTTTCAGGCAGTCTGTATTATATAAATGGAGTAACCTCTATGCCCCCAGATCTTTGTGGGGATTATCTTTGGTTGGACACATCCATCTTGGACAATTTTAGCCTCCTTCTCAATTCAGAACTTCCTCTCTTATGGACCTCTTTTCCTCATCTTTAGGCTCTGGCTGTTGATTTCTCAGTCAGGCCTGGTTTTACCTATTTCTCTTTACCTACTCCTATATTCGTCTTTTCCTACTGGGCTTCAGATTTAAACACAACCCTGCTTTTTTGGGCCCTATTATTGGTGCTTCTTTGATCACCTTAACCTTGATCCGCTTGATATTCAAACCCCCTTCCTCGTCCCATTATTCCCCTTCTCTCTTGCTTCTCACACTTCCCTTCTTCATAGAGGGATATCCTCCCTTCACCCTCATGCATGGAATTTGCCTGATCTATTGCTTTTCAAGCCAAAATTTTCACTAATGTGGCATTATTCTTATCACATTTAGTCATCATTCCACTTTGTTTGTCTGTCACCATCTGTGGTAGGTCATTTGTCATTGGTCCTTCTGCCATTCCTTTCCTCCTTGCTGTAATTCTCTGCACAACGTTTCTGCTTTCTTACCTGACTGTTCATCGATGTATTATCTGTCTCAACCTTTCCTTGTTGTTTGGTGGACCTGTCTCCTTTTTTGGTACCAAGAAGTGTTTCTTCCCCTGTCCTCTCCATTCTGTTCTGATCCTTCATTCTCATCAGTCCTTTTAGCCCAACTCCTTTGCTTTACTGAGACCTTAATGAGGTTTTGCATAATCTTGTTCATGCCTCATTCAAGCTGTTTACTTCCTGACTTTTGTACTCTCTTACTCTCCTGACTTGTTTCCTCATATTTCCTTCTATGATTATCATTTTCCTCTAGATGCTTCTTATGCCCTCTTCCACAGCATTTTCCTCTTCCCAACAGATCCTTTCTTCCTTGGACTTCTGTCACCTAGGAAGTAACCCTGCTATCTCCCTTCCTTTTGTCTCTCACCTATTAGATAATTTTCACCCAGCTCAAATCATGTGTCCTTTTGGGCTGTTCAGTGTGCTTTATCACAGACATCACCCTTTATGCGTCTGTGCCTTCATCTGTCCCTATCCCAAGGTTCATCTTTTTCCATTGACCTCTTTACTTCTTCCCTAATGGGATGAGTTCATTAACTCCTCTGTTGACATTTTTGTATCAGGATATGGATGCTTCCAGATTATTTCCCCTTTTTTTCACATTTGATTCATCACATTTTTTTGTTTTCTTACATCTCTTCCTCGATGGTCCTTGGACGAGATCCTCCAGGTGGGCATGTGGACTCTCTCCACACATTCATCTCTTCTTCTGTACACTTTGTGGTTGTTTTATATCCTGATGGTTTTCAGCTTCCACAGGTCACCATTCTTCAATCACTTCATAGAAAGCACTCATACCATCTGCCCTGACTTTACTTGTGCCCACTGTGAGCTGGGGTATTCTGCAAGACGACTTAGTGTCTTTGTGGTATATATATCTATATTCGATCTATCTTCTGGTCTAGACCCTACCTATACCATAGACTATCATGGAAAAAGCCAACACTAGGAAGGTGTTCTACCCACTACTCTGATTCTCACTTGCTGACTTTGTGGTCATCCATTGCACTGTCTCCAGTAAAAAAAACCTTTCTGGACTGAAGGACCGATGGAGATCTGGGTCTCTCGTAAATTAATTCTCTCCCCTACATCGAGTGGAGTATTGAAGACCCTTGCCTCTTACCAGTCCTACCTGCTGGGGTGGTGTACCATTGACAATCCTTAAAAATTGGGACATAATCTCTGGGGCTAAAACAAGGGGTGCCAATACAGTGAGTAGTGTGGCAGTAGTGACACCAGTTGTGTAGTGTGGGTCACCTCACATATAACTCAGGTACATCATTCATGCCATATGTGGCCTCCTCCTGCAGCCAAAGCCTATTCAGAGTTCAGGTGTGCATGCACTACATGTGGACCAATATTGCATAAAACATTTGAGGTATATAAGTATCCATACAATATATAACAAAAATGTCCTCCTCTCACAGCTGGAGTCAGTTCTGTAGAGTCTGACATTAGAGTTGAGGTGAGAATGGATACTTATCACAAGTACCCTCCTCCCACAGCTGGTTTTGCCCCATTGAGTCTGATGGTAGAGTTGAGGTGAGCACCCAATGTATGGTCTGAACAAACACCAACCACACTAGACATATTAGCTCTCTAACAACTTGTGTACAAATACTTGGACAGACATTTTCCAATTCTTCCCATCCCTACAGCACAAAGTTGGCTTCTTTGCCTCTTATCTTGCTTATATGGATTAAGAGTATACCCTGGATGAGACGAAATACAGTCTCCCACATGTGTGCCCCCATGGAACCCCTGCCATCGAGTGTAACACCTCATGGACATCCTTCAGATGCTTTCTGAATGGTTATCGTCTAATTAAATTTTGCACTGGTCCATCCACCATGTCATTGTGAGATTCTAGCTAATCTGTGTGAAAGGGTGAATTATTGTATCAGAAATCAACATTTTTCTTGCCTGAAAATGTATTTCGAATAGCTACTCACTTTCCCACTTTCGGTGCACAGTTTCTTATTTGCCTTGTCAAAGAATGAAGAATCACAAATGCAAATACATAGGTGGAGTTAGTGCACATGAAGGTGTGTTGTCCTCCTATTGGTAGAGGACTTTTGTTGCATGAGGACATCATCATGCCGTGGTACAATTCATGTAAAATTACATGAAATTAGGTGAGAGATGCTTCAAGGCTAGTGGCATGCAAATTTCTTTGGAAGACACACTGAGGAAGATAGCTAATCTGTGTGTGAAGGCAAGTATCTATCAGAAATACATTTTCAGATAAGAAAAATGTTAACTTTATTGATAACAGTTTCCAAGGTGGGAACCAAAAACTTTGTTTAGACTGTGCTTGAGATCACTAAACAGTTTGTAGTAAAACTATGATTTAAGTGTATTAAGTACATTTTTATATCATTTAGAAAACATTGAAATTTGATTATGCCATCTCAGTTTTCCAAATTCATTTATTTTTACTCATTGTTATTTTCATATCTAATACATTTGTAGCAGTATAATGGCTATTTGTTTGTTAAATTGGATACTTTATATTTTATTCTGTAAAACAAAAAAAAATACTTTATTTTCATAATTTTACAAATTTATTTTAATTCGCAGTCATCCTTGTATACCCTTTCAGATTATATAATTTTTTTGAAGGCTTTATAGTAAATTATATGTTTGAAATTGTTTTTTCACTGGCAGTATTTGATAAATAAAGCTGATAGGGTTATTTCTACAACATATTAATCTTTTACTAACTAGTCTTTTCATTTTATAGATGATGAATTAAATCCAGTTGAGGAAACAAAACAGTCAGAAGATTTTATTAGTCTACATGGGTAAGTTAAACAAATTGTTGTATTTGAATTGTCTTTACTTGTATCTTTTTAATAATGAGAACCATTTCAAACTTCACACTTGAATTGCCTCCCCCTCCCAATAAGAGACTGTCAGCATCAGACCTATCATACTTTATTATTGTCAAATGAGAATTAGTTAACTGTATAACAATAATTTATTACTTTATGAATATGTACATTAAGAAATAATTGATTAACATATACAGTGTTACAAGATATAGACTAGTACTACACTTCTGTTTTGCAGATGTAGACTAGAAGTAATGAACACTTTTACTTGTTTTTCACAAAACTTTGAGAGTTGCTTGTGAACTGTGTATTATGTATGCTCATGAAGATAGCTCACTCTTGATTTTTGTAGGTATTAGACAATCAATTTCTGTGTATGGTGACATAGAAAGAAATGTTTGTCACTAAAATATCTACCAAACATTAATAGAGTATTGCATGCATAAAATATTTTTTTAGAGATTTAGATAAACAATTGGTTATTGAATAATGTATACAAGTACAAATAAAAATTCCATTAGCTAAAACTTAGCCACCTTGCTGTATCTTGGGATCTCATATTTCTTGGCTAAGTAATGTATTTGTATGATAGACATAACTTTTAGCTATAAAGTAGTTAAAAGGGTGTAAGATATATAAATATAAATCATTTCTAAAAACATATGTAATGATTATTATGACTTTTTTAAATATTTTCATGCAATATAGTTTCTTGTGTTTGTGAATTTATAAATGAAACACATAAACAATTACTCAACAATTATTCCTTGAAAAATTAGTTATTTTATATTTTTCAATGTGTATTAGAAACTTTAAGTTTACATTTAAAAGTGCCTGTAAGAGTAATTTTGAGGAAAGTTTCACTGAGCCATGTCATTTACCCTTGACAAGCTCAATCTGTTTAAATGAAATTCATTTATTTTTCAAGCCATATTAGATTAGAATTTACGATATTTGTCATAAACCTGAAAAAAGTCAATAACATGGAAATAGGAATGAAAAATCATTGAAAATAATCCCAAAACCTAAAAAAACGTGAGAGAAAATTGTACCCTCCATTCATTACTGGTATATTTTAATGTAAATCTTGGTCAGTCTGTCTGTTCTCTTTTGTCATTCTTTGTTCGAATATCTTTTTGTTTAATATTGTGAGGAAAAGTTGAAATATCAGTGTGTTGTACATACAAGTCTGACAAATATGAATTTTTGCCTGGGAATTCAGGAAAACAATTTAAATAATTTGCCACACATTAATAAGTTTAAATTCATCTGCATTACACATGTTAGTTTTCCAGCAACTTTGTGACTCCAACAGGAATCATTAGTGTATTATGTGTGTTGTATTCCAAATTAAGATACAGGTAAGTATATTAAGTATTATCTTGGCATTAACAGTAATTATTAGTATATTTTGTGTGTGGTATTCCAAAATTAAGCAACAGGTAAGTAAATTAAGTATCATCTTGGCATTAACAGTAATTATTAGTATATTTTATGTGTGGTATTCCAAAATAAAGCAACAGGTAAGTAAATTAAGTATCATCTTGGCATTAACAGTAATTATTAGTATATTTTGTGTGTGGTATTCCAAAATTAAGCAACAGGTAAGTAAATTAAGTATCATCTTGGCATTAACAGTAATTATTAGTATATTTTGTGTGTGGTATTTGAAAATAATCTTGGGCAGTGGGTAAGTAAATTAATTCCCACATTAATAGGAGGTTTGTAGGAAATGTGTACATAGTTTGAAGAAGTTAGACTCAACCAAATGACAAGAAATTGAAACAAAGAGAACACATTTACTATCAAACATGGTCAGTTTTAGTTAACATAACTCTATATGGATTAAACAGCAACCTATTATTTGACTTTAAAATAGATTGGTCAACAAATAAGTACCATATTAAAAGGTGTAAACAACAGCAAGGGATTCTGGCTGAGAATCCAGTATTCGAAGGAAATGTAAGTTGTAAATAACCATATGCAGTTAATAGATACCTTGAAGAGATGAGAGTGAATAATATTCCTTATGGTTGTTTATGTAGAAAACCACCTATCATGACCTTTCCCAGAACTAGTCTACATGAGATAGTGTACAAAATAGCATTGTAGTTCATAATAATAGTGCAATATTAATTATTCATAAAATACAAGCTTTTAAATATGTGAATGCAAAACAATACTATTAATTCTGAAATTATAAATTTAGGTGTTATACATTATGTTTTTTCATTCACGTTGGAAGTATCAGTACTTAACAGCATGTTGGTATAATTTTTACTTTTGCTGAAAAATTATTTTTAAACTTGAATATATATAGAAATATGTTACTTTATGTAATATATGTGCATCCCTTCTGTACATTCCCAGTACAAAATGTACCGTATATGATGTGTAATAAACATTACAGAATTTCTAAAACCATAGGTAATATGATTATTGTTTTAGCTTTGATAAATCATAGTTCTAAAAGAAAATGTTACAATATATTTGTTTATATTTATCAGTCTATTACATTTATAAAATGTTTGACAAGAGTGTTAACATTTTATCTTGAGTTAGAATAATTCTTTCATAGAAGGGTTATCAAAAAGTGTTTTTCATATTCTTGTGTAACAATGTTAATAGCTTTTGGAACCAAATTCTTGTACTGAATGCTAAAACACATACTAACATTAATGATTTTAATGTTGAAAAAGGAGCACCGATATAACTCACCCCTTCCCCAAGGTTATGTTTAATTAATTGCCAAGGTTGTTAAAAAAATGTGACTGATAATATCACTCTCCTGTAACTTTTGTTATAGTTGAAGGTCCATATTTATTATCTAATGGAATTGTTGATGTTACTTTTTTCTGTATTGCTGTTTATTTATTACAAGCTGAGGTAACCATCATTTGTCTGGGTTATGAGTTTAAATAAATGTGGGGGTGGATGCTATGATAAATAACATAAAAATGTTAACTTTCACAAAATTTATTTATATTGTTATAGTATTCATTATTACCTCACCAAAAGTTTTGTATAAGCTTTAAGAACTCAATATGTATATACTTAAAACATGGTATACACTGTGTGATGGTCAGGGTGGCTTTGTAGGAAGATGTAGTGACAAAAGTAGTGGTAGTAGGGGGTGCTTTCTGTTACCTGCTTTCAACACCCAGCTCTTAACATCCTTCCATGGTGTTTCATGTGATTAATGGGCAGAAGAAGAAAGGTCACTGGTCAAAAAACGGCTCTTCATATCAGCCTTATGGTGACTGTTGGAGTAGGAACTTCAGCTCAGTTTATGTAGTGCTCCAATATTGGTGGTCATTTTTTTAGTTTCATTCTTCCATAGAGAGTGCTAGTGCACATTTGTGTGCCCTTTCCTTCACACTGTGTGTATGTTGTTTTATAGAAACTTAATAATTTTTTTTTGGTTTTGGTGTAAGGATGTGATGCTATCCATGAATGTAGCTAATGTCAAAGATAATAAATGCTCAATAACAGCAATAATTAGAAGTGGAGGGTGTTGTGAATCCCCACTAACATGCCCCTTGTTCCAAACTATCATCCCACAAAGTTTGGTTGAATTTGGCCCAGTAGTTAGAAAACAGACAGACACAAAGTTTTTTGTTTTTTTATGTGCCTTGTACATATAGATGTTCATCAACAATTTTATGCTAAAAATACTGTAACTGTTAAATAAAAATTTGTTATTCTTTAGTCAGCTGCAGTTCTTTTAGTTGGCCACATGCTCTTGCAATGTCAGCTTAATATATGTAGCTATATGAGTATTGCATATAGCATCAAATATATATACATAAATACACATATATTTACAACTTTAGCAATCGAATACTTTCATATATCAAGAGACCAAAGCTTGTCTTGTAATAGTAACAATAATTCCAATAAGCTAGGTACATAGAGTGAAACTAAAAATCAATTTGGCCATCTGTTTAGCTGATGAAATATACTTTTCTTACATATCTACTTATAAAAATTAGAATGCATTCTTTCATCAGTTGAATACCCTCACTGTTAACAATATATTTGGCAGTAAACTCAATAATATCTCGTAAAGTTCAGTCAGCTTAGGAAATTTAGGTCAGTTCTAAATACAACTTTTAAGCTAACAATGCATATCAGTCTTTATCATAAAAGTATAATAATGAATGACTAGTTAAAATAAAATTATTTACAATCAATACAGTAACTAGTATGAAGAATATTATTAATGAAGGAACAACAAATAAAAAAAATGTACCTTACTTAGGGAACTGACAAACAGTAGGTCCTGTCTTGAACCATTGTTGTTGATGTACATTTAGTTGGAAACTTGCTGTCTAACACCACATTAATTTTATACTTGGGTATTTTGATTTTATGTGTTCTGATTAATGAACTACTATGCTATTTTATTTCGTTTATATGTTTTATTATTATTAAAACCACAAGAGCTATCTGTAAAGTCTTTAAAATATTACTTTAATAATTTCACATTTCTTATGATTAGTTCAACAGAGTTTCAAGTGAAGATATTGCCTAAAGAGCTCAAAAGACCCAAACCAATTGCAGAGAACGCACTGGATTTCAGGCAAAATATGCTGTATGGAAAGAAAAATAAGAGAGAATCGGGTACGAGTTGATAAAAAGTAGTTTGTGAAGAAGAAAAATAAAATTTTTAAGAGAGGCAGTGTAACATTTTCAAGTCCCAAAATAACTCTAATTGCTAACTTTCTTTCTTAGTGGTTACTGATACTTCAAAACTGCAGTGTGTGAGTGTGTGTATTTTCACCTGTGAGTAATTCTTGAGAATTGTAGCAAATTAGTTTAATATAAGAGACAACTCTGTATTTATAAACTGTATAGTTCTACTACTACTTTATATTCAAATGTTTAGAATTTTTTATAATCATAAATATAGGTGTAACACAAAAAAAGTACTGAGGATAGTTTTAATGACAACAATGCAAAGACATATAACTCTTAGTATCATAATAATAAAATGAATCTTAAGCTGACCAACCCATCATTCTGTTCAATGCTCAAATCCTAGCAGTTTTGTTTATATTTGTATGACGTACACAACTTTTAGCTTCATAGTCACTATGGTTCATTTACAAGATGAATATTTTGTTAGACTGACACTTTTTTATATAGATTCTCAGCACTCATTCACCTGTAATCTAGTGCATGGTTTTAGAACTACCTACTATAATAACTTAACTTTTTAAATATTTCCTCCTGATGGCCTCAGTGGTCTTTTTTTTTCATTCACAGACTAAACTCTTTTGTTATTTCCAAAAATGTATCAGTTACACAAATAGTATTTTCTAGAGGAGTAAGGGTTGGCCCTGTGGAAGAGCTTTGGAGTTTAGAGCTGGAAAACTGAGTTTGAATACATGCAATACTACTGTCCCTCGGTGGGACAGCGTTAAGTCTTTGGATTTACAATGCTAAAATCAGGGGTAGTTCAATTCCTCTCAGTGGACACAGCAGCCAATGTGGCTTTGCTATCAGAAAACACATGCATGCAATGCTATAAAATATTCCCTGCAATTTAAATTGTATATATATATATATATATATATATATGTGTGTGTGTGTGTGTGTTATAAGAGTAACAGTCAATTCTTTAGCATGGATGATGAGAGTTAGGGTGCTGCTGACTGGCTGCCTTCCCAGTGGTTACTAGTTCAAAATTAGGGCTGGCAGTAGATAGCTTTAGTAGTTTTGTCATAAGTATAATGCTGTTTTATGTAAAAACCAAATTATGTTTTCCATAGATCTGAAAATTATAAATAGTCTACACTGGTTTTTGTCACAGAAATACAATATGCTATAACCTAAGTGCTTTCGAGAAGGTTGACCTTTTAAAAGTGCCTTAGTTTTATAGGATATTGTATTTTTGTGTTAAACTGATTTCTTTAACCTATCAGTTCAGTTTTTGTCACTTAGGCAGTTTACATAACATTCTAAAATTTTTACATATTGTGTCAGAAGCTCTTGTTTCTTGAATTTGTACTTAAAATGTAAAGTGATACAGTGTTTTATGGTATCTATTTCTCCACAGTTCAGTCATTCATGGGAAAGAAAGAAAAACAAGTAGTTGGTGGAAAATGTTAATTGTTACGAGGCTAGCTACTGGATGTCCAAGAGAAAATGTGATTATTTTCAGTATATGAAAGTAGGTGTGGAGCTTAATGCTTTAAGACTATCAGGATGTAATTTCATGTGTTCTATAAAAAATAAATTTGATCCAAGAGATTGTGTAGGTTTTATTTTTAATATACTGTAAGTTGCCTTTACTACATCAAAAACCAAGTCATCAAAACATTTTCTATATATTCTGATAATTCTCAACTATGACTTCTTTCATTGTTATGTAATCCTATATCCATGTTTGGGGAAAATTTGTTAGAGAAATGGTATTTCCAACAGTATAAGTATGCTTCTTCTTGACTTGAATCATAATTTTAGGATCAATCCTTGCACAAGTATTTTTTTGTCTGTAGACATGGAAATATATTAAGATAATTTTTTTTTATAAACTAATCTTCTATCTCTGATTATTGGAGAAAGCACTGATAATATCAGTTGAGCATTTTTTTGTTCTTGGATATACAAATAGTTCTGCAATGCCATTACATATTGTATTTATCAATTTTAACTTTGATACTGGATGAAAGTGATTTAATATGTCACAGAGTTGAAAATTATGAATGAATTTATTTCATAAAATAATCTAGCTTTTACAGTTTATAATTTCAAGAGGTTAAACTTAGAGAAATAAATTTTATATTTCAAAAGTAGTGTTGGTTTGAGTGTTACATAGATATTTGGATGTGTATCTCCTATTCCACATTTTTTAGACAGGATCATGATGAAAATACTCATAAAATTCTTGTCTTCATTTTAATAAACTTTTCACTTGAAATATTTTTTAATGTTACGTGATGGAAGTTACAAATGAACTTTCAGGATTTTTTAGAAAATAGTTTGTTTATGGAATCTTTTTATACAAGTTGTAACCTGAACCAAACATAAAAAAAGATTCATTAATTGTAAGTAGTGTTCATAACTTACTTAAATAAAAATGTTCATAGACTACAAAATATTTATAACTTAAAGATTAATATTCAGTTGATAGTTTTCACCTACTTATATTTAATTCATGTAACATTTTTATAGTGATGTAAAAATCCAGTTGTCAAAAAAACAAATGAACCAAAGTACTTTTGTAGGTAGAGGAAAAATCTGATTATGCAATGTATGCATTAAAGTACCAAAAATTGTAAAGTTTGAAGGAAGTTTTTAGGTATTTGCCTTTCATATGTTGATTCAAATACATCAATATATGTCTGTGTTGACGCTGGTACATATTATTTGAATAGCTTTTACTCTGATCACTTTCTTTATCCTATTTTATGGTGTCATATAACCCTCATTCTTAAACTTACATTTCCCTCCACCAATGAGAAGTGTAATTACCTACTCATGTTCAAGACTGTCTATAATTGAGATATCATTCTTACTTTAATGGTGCTTTCACCAAGTCATCTTTCTTTGGCCCCTTTTTTGCACATACAGCTTATTTCTTACTCATTCAGTGAATGTTTTTTTTTTAAGGTGTGGATTTCTACATCATTATAGTTGAAACTACCTAAAAGCTCATATTCTTTGCCATTTTGATACTGTTTTCTGGAAGTCATCATGAAATTTTCTTTTCTTTCTAAAGCATTGGGTGTCAATGAATCAAGCAGATCAATAAATCAGTTTGAGAAAGATATAAACATATCTCAAGAAAAGGTAGCTGTAAGAGCAAGCTGTCAATGAGTACTCAGTGCTCGATTTTATTGGTCATCTGAGACAACTAAACACTTCCTTGGATGACCAACTTAACCCCTCCGCGTTGTCTGACAGATGGTAAGCACCCTGGAACAGACCCTTACTCAGAACAGCATTGCAGTCTACTGTACACTTATCCATGCCCATACTGCACACGTAATGTTGACTCTGATCCTTGACCAAAATAGCTGGTAAATTCCCTAACTACAAACTCGAAAATTTTAACCCCCACAAAAAATATATTTTGGTCCATTTTTTGTTTAGAAAAGATTATACTTTGTACAAGAGAAATTTTGGTACAATCCACCAAAAGGGGCTGAAAACAATAGGAAAAGTTCACTTTTGTGATTGGCTAGTAATGCTATTTTAATCACTAAACTTTTTATCATGGACAAGCTGTACCTCTGTGCTCCTTTATGCACATAAATTTTGTATGGAGTTCAACTGAGCGTGAATGGCTAGGAGTGGTAACACAGTATGTTGTATACAGCTCAGTTACTTACAATACAACACATTGTACTGCAAGATGTTTGTATGCAAATATATGGATGGATGGAATTTCGCAACAAAAACAAACGCTGATAAGATGAATATTTAATGATATTAATTTTTAGTTTAGATGCTTTCAACAATAAAACTAACATGGCTGTCTCAAATTCTTAACAATAAATCATTGGTAGGAAGTAAAACAATCAAATTTACAAAATCCAACTCAGAAGTTTCATCGTTAATCATCACAGTTGAAACACTGACCCCCTTTTGATTATGCACATATAAGCCTAAAGCTAAAATTAGGTAGCTGTAGAAGCAAGGAAATCAGAGAGAGATCATAGAAGGATAGTTGCTTAGGTAGATACAAGTCAAAGAAAAAGTAGTTATATAGATGCATGCAAATCAAAAATCAGTTAAAATAATGATAGATGCATGGAAGTGAGCTAATAATTGAAAAATTTCAAAAATGAGTGAATGTCTTAAAGGCTAGAAGCAAGCAAGTTAAAGTAGTTTGTCAAAAGATGTCTAGAAGAAAACATGGTAGTAGAAGTAGATTAATGTAAGGAAAATGAAATGTAAAATTGTCTTACCCATTAAATGTGAATCCTTTGCTTACGAACATGTATTTATTGATTTTTTAACTTCTATTTGACTCAAGTTAAAATGGTAATTAAAGAGTTGTCATTACTTTTAGAAATAATAATTCAGTTATTTTGACAAAATCTTCTTAAGCACGAGCACAACACACCCCCAGTTGTATGGCTAGCGATGGGCCCATTCCCACTGAACTTTATCTTCTGCTCTGTAAGATTATTAAGGTCATCATCTGCCACATACAGCTAGTTCAAATAAAGATACTGTATGGAAAGGAGTAAACAGACTTTTAAAAGGAATTGGCATTGATGATATATATCCAAGACATTTCATCCCATTTATTTTATTCCTAAAAACTGGTAATGCATCAACAAAATGGAAGACAGCAATATGTGTGGAATAATGGTCCAGTCAACCAAATTAATCCTTGGTTCAAGATGATTATAAAACATATTGTGAAACAAAACTTTTCATCTTGCATTATATCTATCACATAGGACTGCAAGCAGTTGCATCCACTATGTGCAGGAAGCTCCATACTGTTTGGTTTAATGTAGGTACTGTGGTCCATGAGCCACCAACCAAAACTGTAAATATAGAAGTTGGCCCTAATGGTGCCATGAGTATTAGAATTGGAGTGACAAACAACGATGGATTCCACTACTTATTTTTATCTTCAGATGAACAAATCTGAATCTTATTATGTTGCTTCAACCATAGAGACTGGTAGGCTAGTATCATGGTATAGGTCTGTTTTTGATTTAAACTCCATTCATTGGCAATTGTTAAGAATGCCATGTTGTTTTGGAACATTTAAATTAAGAGTTACATTGCATTGATGAAATTCTTTAGTGAAGAACCACATTTCTTTCAGCATAAAAATGCACAATGTACAATTTTTAATATCTGGAAGTTGCTTTGACATAAATAGAAGTAAGTTGCTGTGGGATGTTTTGGATCCCAGAAATTCCATTATACATGGACCTGCTGTGAAAGAGTGAATGTATTGTGTACTACATGAAAACCAATGGTTATTGACAACTTTCAGTAATGAAGTCCAGGCACAGATGAACACAAAAAGGAGAATCACTCCCTCACCATTCAAAATGAGACTTCAGTAACAAAATGCAAATGTGCTGGTAGAATACTTTTGGCAGAACACTGTGTACTTAGGAGTACCCATTTTTGATTTTTAACACCATGAAAAATCTAAAATAAGTGTAATAATTACACATTTTGGAAACAGAAGAACTTACTTTTGAAACTACAGTTTTCCTTTATTTCAGAGCACACATTTTGACCTTTACAATGACACATTACAAATTGGTATTAAAGAAAGGGATGGTACATTTAATATTTTATTTAATACAGTAAGTTTTTCTAGAATATGAACCCTTAAAGGTATGGAAATATAAAAGAAACCATTTGTAAAATGGTGTGAAAGTAAGTACTTTGAGTTTTTTTTTTAAAATATGTGAAACCAGAATTCTTTTTCACTTCAGAAAAAGTCCTTCATTAATCTTCGTACCCATTAAATTTATTTCTTAATACTACTTTTGTGTAATTTTAATATCAAAATGTCTTCAGTTTAGTGATTAAGTAAACTGTATTTGATAGTAGTCAGTATTTTCTGCAAAAACTTATACTGAGATACAAATGCAAACATAAAATATGAAAATTTTCCTGTAAGAACATCAAAGAAATTATTATTGCAAATCTTATGAATGAAACTAGAATTTTTTGTAACTCTGAAGTAAACACCATGGTGATTTCTTACATATCCTGTTTATTTCATTGTAGTGATATGTACAATCACTGACAAAAAGATAACAGTATAGAAGAAAGGCTTAGGTTTCTGTTTTTTTTTTTTATAGCTGTGACATTAAAGTTAATCTTTAAGTAATACATGTGTTTTGTCCATGCTAGCACAAAAATATTTTGTAAATCTATTCTTTATCAACTAAATATTTTAGGGAAAATATCTTGATTAGATAATGACAGTGGAACATATATCAATAAAATTTATAAAGGAAAAACAGGCTAAAAAGTGTACAAAGCCACAGCTGGAGAAAAGGCTTTGGGAAGTTAAGCTATAATAATGATAAACCTCTTTAGTGCATTTAAGCCCGGCCTCATTAAAATTTCCTATCTCATAGACTAATTGAGAAATTTGTTTTCTAAATACTATATAAAAATATAAACATTTTTGATGTGAAACACTTGTTTTTAACTACATATTTAGAAAACAAAACATTCAACACAGTTATGATTATTGTAATGTCAAAAGATGTTATTACTTGTATAGTTTTAGTAACAAGTAGCACTAAATGATCCATCAAATACAACTCATTGAACTGTAGAAGAATAACATTTTATAACTTTCACCTCAAATGAAAATGTTTTAAACCAGCCTTATTAATATTTATGTTTCTAGTGATCAAGTACATCTATAGTTCAGTTAATAATAAAGAAAACCAATGATATGTTTATGCACAAAAATTATTACATGGTTACTTTCCCAGTTTTGACTAAATTTGTTGACTACAACAGCATTTTGTATAACTTGTGCTAGTTTGTTAAAGCATTCATGTCAAAAATATTTTTGGTGCCCATGAATCCACTGAACACTAATATTCAAAAACTTCACAATCATCAAAGGCAAGAACTTTGTGAATAAAATCAATGCAATGGAATAAACCTTTCTTCTTCCTACGTTAAGTATTTATTTTTAATTAAATCTATAGACTATTCACTAAAATAATAAAACATTGTTATATATAATTATATTAAGTTACAGCACGCTAAAGTTGTAAAAGAAGGTCACGCAATTTAGAATAAAGCTAATGTATTAAAGTTTGAAACAATTTTGTTATTACAAAATTGCAAGAGGTAATAACTAGATGTTTGTTATGAGTTTTTATTGTAACAAATTTCTTTGAAACATTAAGATGACCATTTCATTTACCTTTCATTTTACATATTGTAAAGGACGGGTGGAGAAGTCAAAGGCTTGTACATCTCTTCTTGATTAAAACATATATATATATATATATATATATGGTTCTATTGCCTAAACGCGGGAACATTTCAGTATTTGGCCTCATGCTATGGATACAGTCTTTTTCACTTTTCCTCAGTCTCTAAGAAAGTCTTTTGTATCTGTCTTTATACAAACAATCTAATAAGAGAAAAGACTCCTAACATAATTATTCCAGCAGTGACTGAAAGTTCTGCAGCTGCATTGCACTTGTCTTCAAAACAGTGACAGATATTAGTACGACTCCCGTAACCTGCCCTATAGTAACAGTCTTTTTCTTCTGTGTCGAGTGCACACTGACGAATGATACGTTTGTTCTTACTTTCTGGAAGTAAAGAATATTTATTTTGTGAAATATGAACATAGTACGTAAGATTTGTATATACCAGTTTACATTTTATATAGCCAACTAAACTATATACAGGAAAATTCGGGCACTTTCTTTTTTTAATTTAAGTTTCGTTCGTTAATCATCAAAATTTAATTTGTTCTAATGTGGTATTTTCGGATAACACTTATTTCTCCAAAGAGTGACAAGATAAGTCCCGAAGAATAACAGGATATTAAATCGAGAAATATGTTACAAAGTGATTCAAATTCTCCTAACCTGACTGAGTTTGTGAATGGAAGAGAATGGACACAAGTGTGTGTATTTTGTATGGAAGACTGCATGTTTATTAGAGAGTACCCTTCTAGCATTATATGTCATTTCCATTGAAAAGTAAGGGACGTTGTAGCCTCTAGGTATTACCTGCAGAGGCCTTTCCCGCGGGAAGACAAAGTTGATACGTTAATTTATAAACCTAAACATGACAACGTTACAATAGAATCTGTAATTTATCTCTATCAATACTGTCCATGAGAAATACTTAAGATGGACACTCGCATTGACTGTATGTTAATAAGGTCAGTATTGCGCAAGGTAGATCTTATATGTGAAAGTCTCAAGGTATTCTAAAGTCGTGTATATCTTTAAAAAATTAAAATTGGCAAACTGTACAGCTTACCTTTCTGAAAGAGAATGGAAAATAAGGTACTTAAGTGCACCACACCCTACCTTTCTTTGTTTTCAGGTTCTCCATAACAGTAAAATTTGAAATCCAATGAAATTCACATTAAAAGAAATCCACAACTACAGATATACCCTGTTCCAGTAATCCCTTATTCCTTACAACTGACAAAAAAATGTAGACGAGATAGGTACTCACAAAAGGTTTTAGAAGAATCCATGTCACAATAATAAAACTCCAACACAAATACAAGCTATTGCAGCATAATAACCCTTTATGGTTAATACAAGATACAATTTTAATACGTCAAATGTCTTATCAGAAACAAATATCTGATATTGAAAATAAAACCTTTAATAATGATAAAATGAAAGAAAAATTTACATTAAGCATAACATAACCTTTAATCATACTGAAATAGATTAATTTAAAATGACCAAAAACATTTCAATGCCATATAAGTATTAATGTACATATATACATTATATAATATCAATATTGAAAAAAGAAAAAGCAAGTATGACCGACATTCTTTATATGACTAGACCTCTCATTTAGCCTTGGACTGTTTCAGTTGGAATCATTATAAAAATCTTTTCAAATACTGTACGTGTATATAAATGTATGTATATATATATATATATATATATATATATATATATATACACACACACACACACAAT